CTGCAGCTTTTGTCTGCCACAGGTTACATGGCTTAACACCAAAACGTTGTCTCAAGTCTCTGAAGATGTGTGAAAACATAAAACATGAACTTTGATACCTTCCCAGGCACAGCTGAGGTGTGAGAGCTTTGAGCTGTGATAACCTGACTGTGAATCTGAGACCTGAGGCACAAGTTCAAGGGGGAATTCACTGCCTGCTGTGCAAACTCCTTGTGAAGGGTTCAGAAGAGATTCTCATTCCCTGCTTGGTAAACAAATCTCTGTGCCCACTCCAGGGACACCAGCACTGCACTCAGAGATGGCTGTTTGGGAGAGATGCTCCTTAAGGCACCAGAAATGGGCAAGTTAAGATCAACAGCAGCACAAGTGACACCAGTTTGTCCCTCCCTTCCCAGTCCCTGACACCAGAGGATAGTTTGGGTGCCCAGAAGCAAACCTGCCCACTCAGATAAGAAACCTTTGGATTCATCCTAATGTTTCACTCCCTTACATAAGTGTTTCCTAGGAAACTGCCTCAGTTGAGCCATGCACAGTCTCACCACAGCTCAACCAAACCTTGTCTGGAAGAGCAGGAGTGAAAGTGGCCCCATAATCATTTGGATTTGACAAAGCATGGAGCAGAATTTAAGTAGCTGATTGAAACGTGTTAAATGTTTGTGTTTTGGAAGCATCACAGACCCATCTGGGCACAAAGAAATTCCCAGCTCAGTGCTGCTGTGCCATTCTCAAAGCAACGAAACAGCAAACCTGACTTGATTCCCCAAAGCTCTTCAGCTCTCAAAACTGCATTTACTTACCCTTTCCATGTTCAGACTCCTGGAAATTTACCCTCCTACACTGTAATTCCTACCACACAAGTGTTTCCAAAGGTACCATGGAAAACTGCTTGGTCCTGAGCAAGTACAGGATGGGAATTGGATCAGCCATACAGAGCACACCCCTAGCAGCTCCCAAATTTCCCTTTCAGGAGCACCAAGATTTGTCCAGAGCAAACATGGAGACTCAAATTCTCCTTTTTGAGGGACTCCACACTATTACCTGCACTGAGTTTTCCCTTGCCCCCTATAAAACACAACATTCCTTCCTGCAACTTGTAGATCTACTAAAAATACAGGGAAAAATCCTCAGGTTTTTTGTTTTTAGAAAGGAACAAATAGTTCTTCAACTGTCACCAACATTCCACCTCTCATTTATCACTATGGCAACTATGGCAAGTTGCTTCCTGAGTGAAAAAAAAAGACAATTTTTACTTTCTTCTTCCCAAGATTTCACTGAGGGAAGCAGCACCATTCCCTCAGTCCACAGACCAGAGCAGGATTTTATTCCACTGGTCTGTACACTAGGAATCAAGAACTGCTCACAAGAAAGCAGCAACTTCAGCTCAGTTGAAGCTTCTGGAAATACATTACTTAAATAAAACAAAACAAAACTCCTCCCTGAAACCTGAAAAGTTTGAATCCTTTGTGGTTTGGAAGTATCAGTGTTTGGACAATCCTCTCTGGGGGAAGATGGAGAGAAGATATAGCACCTTCCTTAGGTGCCTGTGCATTTGGGTGGGGGGGAAAAAACCTCAGCTCAATTCAGCCCACGTGGTTTTCTATCTGTGTTGTGGCTTCTCCTTTCAAGCACACTGCAATGTGAAGCTCCTAGAGCAGCAGCTGTTGCTGCAGAGTGCAAAATACCTTCTTTGAAGGTGCTCCGGTGGATGGCACATCGATGACAGCGGAGGAGTTGGTGTAGTTCTGTAAATAGGATCCATCTCCAGGGCTTGGGGTTTCTAGTGGCAAAATTCCAAAGCTGAGAACAAAACAGAGAGGAAAGGTCAGTGTGTACTGAGTGTCAGACCCACAGCTGGCCTGAGGCTGGGCTAAAACAGAGCCAGACCCGAATCTGAGCTAGAAAGGACCCACAAGGATCATTGATCCAACTCCTGTCCCTGCACAGGACACCCCAAAATCCCACCCTGAGCCTGAGAGTGTTGTACAAAAACTCCTGGAGCTCTGTCAGCCTTGGGCTGTGCCCACTGCCCTGGGGAGCTGTTCAGTGCCCAAACACCTCTGGGGGAAGAACATTTAAGAGATTTTTCCAGTGCGAACACAGCAATAAGTAAGATACTAAATCAACAATTCCTCTCAGAAACACCAAGTGTTGGTTGGAGATCAACACCAGGGCCAAGAGCTGTTAGAGAAGTTGTTTAGGTCTCATTTCTTCAGCCTTACTTACAACACTGTACCTACACATGTGTTCTGAGTATGAAGGACTTACCTTGGAGTTAGTGGGGTCAAAGCTGCAGGTCCTCCCAGTAAACTCCTTCCAGTTTTTGGTTTATTTTGAGCCTGTTTGGACAGTATGGCAGTTCCTGACCCCAGAGGGACAGCGTCTGGTGAAATCACAGCTGAGTCAATGTAAGACATGGAAGAATCCGAGTTCAAGGAGGAATATTTTGAATTGGAGGATTCTAGGTTGATTCTGTTCAGCTCCTGAAGAATGGGAAGCAGTGTTAGATACTCAGAGTGTGGCTTCTAATTAGCATTGCTCAGTTAAGCTGTAAAAACTGCTTTGAATGATTTTAGCAAGTGATTTTACCATGACTTCAGCAAAAACACTCACAATTGTGTCCTGTGGTGTTTCTGTGAGGACAGTCTCAGGCTGTCTGTGGGATATGTTGTGGTTAGACACCAACGTTGTGCAAGTGTTGGGCAGACAGCTGCTGAAGTTCTGTAGGGATGTTAGTTTAAATGTTTGGTCAGGGTCTGGCTTCTCACCTGCAAGATTGGAAGGAGATTGGAAGAGTTATTCCTCAGTCTATACTCTGAATAGTCACAGAATCATAGAATTTAAGGGTTGGGATGGAGCTTAGAGATCATCCAGCCCCAATTTCTGCCCTGGGCAGGGACACCTCCCACCAGAGCAGGTTGCTCAAGGATTTATCCAACCTGGAATGAAACACTGCCAGGGTTGGGGCAGTCACAGCCTCCCTGGGCAACCTGTGCCAGTGTCTCACCACCTTCACAGGGAAAATCCTGCTAATATCTAACCTAAACTTCCCTCTTTCAGTTTGAACCCAATTCAAGTTGGGTTCAATTTCACTCTGACACATGGATGGGGACAAAGCATTTTAAAACATGTCATAGAATCATGGAATGGTTTGGGTTGGAAAGGCCTTAAAATCATCTCATTCCAACCCTCTGCCATGGGCAGGGACAACCCCCACTAGCCCAGGTTGCTCTGGGCCCCTCACACCAAATCTCAAGTGTTCTCCCACCACAGAACTCTGGACAACCAGTGCTATTAAACAACAGACTTATTTTTTCGAGTTACTCTGAGACACAGAGTTTCTAGGGGTTCACTAACTGTAGGCTAGAAAACATATGGTACTGCTAAATCCAGAAACGTATAGTGAAAATGGAGGAAAACAAGACAAAAGCTCTAAACATTAGCTAAGGAGTTTAAACTCATTGTTGCTGAGGAAACAAGTCCAGAGAATTCTGTTGGCACTTCCCTTATTCTGGACTAGGGGTAAAACCTTGTCAGAGGTGATGGCAAAATGGAAAACTTAATGTAACCAAAACCCAGAGACAACATCTTCATGAGCAAAACCCAGTTGTGCAGACTCACCTATTTCACATAGTGATTCAAAGGGGGACCAGAGGAAAGGATTTAAACTAAGGCTCTTTTGGTAACATTCAGATCCTTTGGCAAGCCGGTCTGTCTTGCTGCAAGAAGAATGGAACAGTTCATAAGGAAACTCAAGACCAGCACTTTTGCTCCAGAGAGCTTTCCAGAAGAGGAGTTGAAAAACAAAAACATGTTGAGAGGCACAGCAACATTCCTCTTTTTTTCTTTTCTTTTTTTTTTTTCAAGCCACACAGTAATATCAAGTTCTTTTGAAGTTATTTGACATATTTAGACACAGTTGTCAAAAAAAAGTTACATAAGCACTAGAATAGCTTGAGAATTTTCAGTTTAGGGAGATGCTGCTCTTTGTAGCAGCTTTTTTCTCCTCTGCAAACAAAACTGCTTGCCAGACTTCCAGCCAATGTTATGGATAGTATTTTTGCATAGAAATTAGGGGCTAAACTAAACCCTTAAGTATTTTGGCTGAAATAATTGACAACAGATATACTAGAGAAGAATCCAAAGCCCAACTATTCCTATTCAATCATTCCCATTTACTGCAACATTTCTTGGGCCTGGGCAAAAGCAAAAGGGCTTAAATTTGTCAGGTGATTCTGCCTGGCACCCTCAGAACTTTGATTTGAGGGGTACAGAGAAACAAAACAGGCCTTGAGAGTCTTCCTTAGGGAAGATCACAGAGCACATCCAAAGGTAGGACAGAGACTCTTGGACTGCATGCTTAACCCCCTGGGAATGAGGCATTGGTGCTTCAAACTCTGGGTGAAAAAACCAAACCATTCTGGCATCCCCAAGTTAGATGGATTCCACAACTATCTGTCTGCATCCATCACGCTCCAAAATGGCCAAATACCCAGAGAGGTGTATTCTAAAGATAGGTTTGACTAAAACTGGGCTTGGTCAAGCAAAAACCCCCAAATTTTATTGAGCAAAAGAAAAAAGCAACATTACCAGTAGACATGTCCCAGTAAGGAGAGTGTAAAGCATGCAGAGTCACCAAACTCCATAACAATGTCATCATGGCTTTTCTGTTTATTCAACACTCCACCAGATAAGATCTGCTCTCCTTCTGCAAGCCTTTTTAAAAAACAAGAGGTTTAGAGGGGTTACAAGGCTCATAGTATTGGCAGACCAGTGTTTTCACCCTGCTGCAAACAAAAACAGAAATCCACTGCCAGTGTTCACAGGTTTCAAACCACAACAAGCTAGTTCCTGCAAAGGAATGTTAAATGATCGATGGATTCCTCTAGCAACATGGAGCTTCAGGACTCTGGAGCAGAACAGCTCTACTGAGAGGGGAAAAAAAGACAAAATAAACCCCAAATCCCACACCAGTCCAAAAGCAGATACACAAAACACAGTGTGCACACACCAACAGCTAGGGAGAGGATGTTCAGCTTCAAATTTATTCCATGGGACCTTTCCAAGTAGAACACTAATGTGATTTCCCTTTCAATGGAAGACGTAAAAAAATCTCTATCCTGATAACTCCAGAAGTGTCAAAGGGAACTGAACAACTCAAGACATCCTGACTATTCCAAGATATCACAGGATTTGCCTGTTAAAGAGAGTGGCAAAGACCAGGGAGATGCTCCTGCAGCCTCTGGAGAGGTCTCTGTTTGGTTACACTTTGCAGGATCATCACATCACACTGTGCAAAACTCTAAACATCCTGTACCTGTTCTAAAGAAATCAAAACTCTTCTATGGATCATTGAAAGACACTCAGAGAAAAACAAATCAAAACCACCACAACACAACCACCACAAGCTGTTCTGTAGAGACACTTCAGCTCCTGTAAACAACCCCCACAGCATTTAAAGTACTCTGAACAAGATTTTGCCTTTCTTGGTGCCTCATCCTCTCCTCCCTGCACCTCAGCCAGATCCTGTTTCCTACATTTGAGCTGAAAGATGTAGAAAGGAAATACCCTGGGGAACAAACTCTGAGGCCATTAGGGCCTGTAGCTTGAGCAATTTCATTCTACACTGCTGCTGGCAGACTCCACAAAACCTGCAAGACACCTTGACACTACCAAGGTTAATTCTGATGTTGAATAGAGGACTCTTGGATGTGGATTCTGAGTGGGTTTGTTGTGGGTTTTTCTTAATCTGTCTGCCAGCTCTTCCCTCACCTCCTGTCAGCAG